CCACTGCAGAACACAGAGCTAACAACCCATGGACTGGGATGAAGATGCTCTAGGACCTATACACTCACTGACTTTCTACCAAGATGACGAAAGAAAGCGATAGTAGTGTTCTCATGACCACCGGGATAACAGAAATGCCATGAGGCTGTGCAGAGAAGTGGAGAGAGCCTGTGGTAACAGGTGTTGGAGCACTGCTACCCAAAGGAGCAGGGATCTGATGCACCATGATGCCTACTGTGGATGGAGTAAGAGGGCCCCATGTGAAACTTGTCAGTAACAGACAGCAGGGGTCATTCATAAAGAGAAGCCCACAGGGAACCAAAAATGAAAACCACAACCGGCAGATGTAAAACCAGAGTTCACAACCTGAAAACAAGCCAGATAGCTGACCCAAGGCTACAGCTGCTTCTGCTTCCACTATGATAGTCCCCTGGTCACCCCCAGCATCTGCAAAACCATCTAACAAGAGGGCAGCTGTTTCAAGCACTGGTGCTGGATAGCATGAAATCGGGATCCCTTGGAAAGAAACTCACAAAGGAAGTAGCTGTGGGCTCCCAAGAGATGGAGCAGGTGGGCACGGTGTCCTCTGAACAAGTGGCAGTCAGAACATGAGATTGCTGAACACCAGGGATCTCTGTACCTCTGCCCCAGCAAAACACAAAGGTCCCAGGCAAATTCTCTCTGGGATGGGAGTGGGAAACCCCAGAGATAAACTAGGACAAGGTGGACCAGCCAATGTGGCTTTAAGACCATCAGCCAACATTAAAGTGCCCACCAAAACAAAAACAATTCTTTTAAAACAGCAACAATCACGGTGCATTCAGAGTACTTGTAAAGCAGAGGCAGGAGAATCATGGCAAGCTGGAGGCCAGCCTGATTTATATAACAAGTTAAGGCTAATCAGGTCTGCATTGTCTACAAGCTACATAGGACCCTGTCTTAAACAAACACAAGTGCAAAGGCTCTGTATGATACCACCTCTAATACTTAACATAGACTCATTAGTCTTTAGTCATGCCCTGAGATGGAAGGCTATAACACAGGGTCAGGATACAGATAGACTGGCAGTTGGGTTGTGCAGATAAACCTTTTAAAGTAGATATCACAGTATACATGGCATGAACCTGCTCACAAAAAAAGGAAAACAGTGGTAACAAGTAAATACTAGACCCAAAAGCTGTGGTAAGTGAAAGAAAGACTGTCCTAGACAAGTATGATGGCAGAACAGACAGCCAGGAAGACCATGAGCCTGGAAACAGCAATGGCCTGACCAGAAGAGAGCAAAAGAATTAAAAAACCAAACAGTGTGCAGGAGCTGTGAGGAACACCCCACATTCTGTGTATGTATAGCTAGCATCCCAGAAAGAGGAATGCATTCAAAGAAACCATAGCTCAAAACTCCCCAAGTCTTATCAAAAGTGTCATCCGACATACTTGAATTACATTAAAATTTAAAAGGCCCCTAGGAATATTATAATCAACATGCTGAAAAATTAAAGAGACAAGCTTAAAAATAGGAGGGGAGATGGTGCTCACAGAGAACCATACTGCACTGGACTGTCCATCAGAGATCATGGGGATCGGAGGCAAAACCTCTGTAAGGTGTTTAAAGAACAGCGTGTCTGCCAACCCCACATCCGGTAACACGCAACATCAGTTCTCTGAAACTGAGATGGTGTGGGGTCCATTCAGATCAGCAGGGCTGAGGGTGTCCACCAGCCATGCCCTGTGCTTCAGGGTGGATGCACCCCCTGGATGGAGAACTCTGCTCTGTGGAAGAAGGAGATGATCCTGGAAGTGTAAAGATGAGGTAAACGTCAAGAGGCCATGGTTTTCCTAGAATAAAACTATCGCCAGCGATAGGCACAGATTAGCTGTGGGGTGGCACCATGGTGGCATAATAAGGCCAGCATCTCCATGGGTGGAGAGAGGGGCGGTGGGAACTGAGGGCCTCATGCAGGCTGTGCTAGGTAAAGGGAGCCCAGCTGTGACCTTGGAGGAGCCCATCTCCTAGAGATACATAAAAGCAAGGAAGCCAACAGAAGGAAGAGGGAAGTCTAAACTATTCGGCTAGCTCCTGGAGATAGCACAGTGGCAGAATGAAGAGAGGAAGAGCATACTGGTGAGCATCCAGACCATGGTAGCCACCCCATGGTAGACGAGCTGTGCAACAGTGGGCACCGGGAGCAGGCGTGTTGGAGTCAGCATCAAACAACATAGAATGCCAGACTAGGCATGTACACAGCCTTAATGGAGAGTGCATCTGCAGAGAGGAGGGGAGGCAGTGGCATCACATCCTGCCTAGGAGACCTGCAATGCTCCCCTCCCTGGAGTCTTTACAGCTGACAAAACCAGGGTGCAGAGCATGAGCCATGTGACCACCCAGGCATGGTGACACAGTGCTCTGGGGACGGGCTCCTCATTTCGTCAAGACTTAGGGACTGTCTCAGACTGAAGACTTTCCCAGGATTTAGATGACCAGACTAAGCCCACCCTGAGCTTGGATGATTTCGCTGACGATTTTGGGAAACATGACAAGTATTTGTATCAGTTCCTCTGGAAAGCAATTTTCGAATGACACCCCACAAGTCATCGTATAAAGCCAGCATGACCTTGGTGCTAAATTGGCAGAGACATAAGGTCTAAGCAGGCAGGTCATCAAAACAGACAAGTGAATGTCAACAGCACAGCAAAGACACTTGTTCACACAGGTAAATAAAAAGTATCTACTGTTGAATGCAAGTACATATCCACAGTACAGCTGAAGTCAAGGGATGAATAAGACTAAGAGTTTGTGAGGACGGAATGACAGAGCCCCTGCAGTATGGTGTGTGAGCAAAGGGCAGTGCACTTAGAAGAAGAAGTCTTTGGTGTTGGGAGCCATAAATCAAGGGGCCATCCAGAGTGGTGGGAAATTACAGGTCCCTCCCCTTGTCTCTCAGTTGTTGTCAACATTCCAGACAACTCCACTGCAGCCTCAGGGAGCCCCAAGGATGCATTCACAGGCTGAACAGGGAGAAGACAGAGTCCCAATAAAAGAGAAAATAAGGGATCAGGCTTGTGCCCAAAATACAGCCGCATATTTTTCAGCGACCCAGAGGGCATAGCCGAGCTAAGGCCAAGGTCAGCCATGGCAGCGGCCTTGGTCTGCCGGCCCTCAGCCAGCGGCTTGGTGCCACCTCGTGCTGGCATCTGCGGCAGGCTAGATAAAAGGGCTGCTGGGGTGTCGGACAGCCTGCCTCCTTGGGGTAACTGCCTTGGGAGATGCTGCCATGGGTTATGTCTATTCAGTGTATATAAATGCTATTGATACAGCCAGACAGAAACTGTTTTTGAGACTTATAGGGAAGAAAGGGCAACATATTTAAACTTAGAATTGTTCAAATCTTGGATGCTCATATTTCAAGGATTAACTATAGCTACTATGTTAGGAGAAATTTCAATTAGGGATTTTTCTTTTCAACAAACTGATCATAACCTAGGCAAAGGAGAAATGTGAGACGTATGCAAGTTATGAATGAACGGTGTGGCCACACCTGGATGCATGATGTGATTATGAATTTATGAATGCGGATGAATGGAAATGCCTAAATTGCCTTGGATATGATTAGAGATATTTACATTGCCTCGGATATTGTTTAAAAATATCAAAATCACTTTAATAGGGTCAAAAAGAGCATCCAGTTAATGAGTCAATGTCTTAACAGGAAAAATTATGATTTGAGCCCTAGGAGATAGTCAACTAAAAAGTTAGCAAAAGTTTATAGCATTAGCTTAGAGACATGAGAAATCTATAGATGATTCTGTAAAATTTGGCAGATGAGAGAATACAGGTCTTACTAAATTTTTATGGTTCAAAAAGGAAAAATCTAAAAAATAAAAGTTGATACATGATTTTAAAAAGGGTTTATAAAAAGCCTCAGGAGAGAGCCATCATGTTAGATTCACAGCTTGAATGTGTCCTTGTAGATACAAAATCACCTTGCCCCCAACCCTCCCTTTCAATGGTGAGTCCTGCCACAGGGCATGGCCAATTCCCCTACATTGTGTCAACGCTTTGTAGCCCAATCTGTAGATCCTTTAAGATTAGAGTTTCCTGAAGCATATATTATTCATTATATGCATGACTTATTAATTACTGCTAAATCACAGATTTTGGCGCAAATTATTGCCCAGTCTCTGGTTCAGGCCCTGCAGTCTCGAGGCTTCAAGATATCCCAGAAGAAAATTCAAACTTGCTATCCCTTCCTCCAACTGGGATTTTATTACAGTTAAAAGAAAAATTCCCAGCTCAAAAGAGGCTGCCCGCACCAGGTTGTGCTATACTGATTCCCCTACCAAGGGATGGTGCAACCCCCTGAATATTTCTTTCACAGACCCAGGAAGGAGATATGACTGGGCCAACTCTAGGGGGCTGGAATGGGGACTTCGTGTATACTGGCTAGGTGGAGACATTGCTTGACCTTTAAGATAAAACTAACAAAATCTGTTCCCCGGGCTCAGACGATAGCGATGGGCCCCAACACAGTTTTGCATGGCGCACTCCCTAAAGCTGCCACAGTTTTACGTGACTCACTCCCTAAAACTGCCCGCCCCTCGAGCCTCCCTGCTACAGTAAGTCCCTCTATCTGCACCACGATTTTTCAGCCCATGTTACCCCAAGGACCTGCTTCCTCAGCGGAACTCATTCTATCCATGGTAAATGCTTCTGCTTTAGCACTACAGTCCCTTAATAATTCTCCATATCAGGAATGCTGGATTTGCTTTTCCCCTCGGCCACCCTTCTATGAGGGCATGCTGACCTTCGAAAACCTTACCTTCACCAATGAGACTTACTCGCTAAGATGGCATTCTGTGAACCATGAGGGCTTGACCTTAAGCCAGATCTCAGGCAAAGGCCTCTGTATTAGAGGACTGGAACTCCGTTTCCCAGAACCCTTACAGCCAATGTGCAACCAAACTGTCATCATTAGCCAGTCATCTACATATGTAGCTGCACCTGATGGAACTTATTTTGCTTGCTCTCTGGGACTCACCACCTACATTATTACTGCCCAGTTTTTACATGAACTCGATTACTGTGCACTTGTACAACTGATGCCTCGCTTATCTATACATGACCCTGAAGACCTCCTCCCAACATGGGAGAGGGGTGATGAAAGGTCTCGACAGAAAAGAGAACCTATTTCGGCCATTACCCTGGCTGTCATTTTAGGACTAGGAGCTGCAGGAGCAGGGACAGGGATAGCCTCCCTTGTCACCTCTAAACAGCAATATGCACAACTGTCTATGGCAGTGGACAAAGATATAAAGGAATTACAAACAGGTTTACAAAACTTAAAAGACTCATTGGTCTCCCTATCTGAGGTGGTGTTACAAAATAGGAGAGGTCTTGACCTCGTCTTTCTTAAAGAAGGAGGCCTCTGTGCAGCTCTTAAAGAGGAATGCTGTTTTTATAAGGATAAGACTGGACTGGTACAAGACAGCATAGAGAAAGTAAAAACTAACCTAGAAATTAGGAAAAAACAGAGGGAACAACAAGAATCATGGTATCAAAACTGGTTCTCTACTTCTCCCTGGCTATCAACTCTTTTGAAAGTTGTCCTGGGACCCCTTATGGGTCTACTCCTCCTTATATCATTCGGCCCTTAGGCCTTTGCAAAACTAACCAGATTTGTTAAGACACAGATTGATGTCATGATTAAGGAGCCTGTTACCGTTCACTACCATCGCCTCCAGACACGGGAATTAGAGATAGCTGAGGAACCAGAACTGATGGAGGAATTGACAGCCCTTGACTTCTCCTCCTTACGAACCCCAGCCTATGCACCTTGGAATCCTTGGAATCCTATGCACCTTGGAATATGGCGTGTTTTGACTGGAACAGCACTCCCCTGACCCCTCTATCCTTCCCTTTCTTTTCCTTTTTTGACCCCACTAACCGCTAGCCGCACTAGATCAGTAAGCTTGACGTTCGTTGCCTGCCTGGACAGCCTGGAGTTAATAGGTCTGGCCTTGATCCCTCCTCCCCACGTCCAGGGCAGGATACTCTATGACGGGAGCCTGAGGGACCCTCCGATGGATAGCACGCCACACAGAGGCCGTAGAGGCCGGCTCAACGGGCATGGCGCCAGAGAGAGGGACGCAACCCCTCAGTTGTCCTAAGACAGGGGTCCTGACCCAATAACATGGCACTTGGTCATAATAAAGGAAAGGGGGAGATGTTGGGAGCCATAAGTCAAGGGGCCATCCAGAGCGGTGGAAAATTACAGGTCCTTGAAAGACCTTCCACCTGGCAACTGCCACCACGGGGTGTTCTATCCCAGGAGGAGATAAGCAGCCTCGAGAACTAGGAACATAAGATGTTCCCAGGCAGCAGACGTTCTTCAGATAGCTGCTTACGAAAAACACCAGAGATTCTAACCACAGTAAGGCCCCCCCACCCTGCCATATTCCTATGTAAGTCCTACTGTTCCTTCAATAAACTGAGACCTTGACAACAGAATCTTGCTTGGTCTCTTTTCTTTCTCTCGCCTATGATTCAGGCAGTACCTCTTCAGACCCTGGAATAACTGGACCTGCTGGACGGGTCACTTTGGATTATGGTGGTAGCCCGTCTACAACATGCCCACTGTGGCTATTGAGGATACATCGACAAGTCTCTCTCCAGACAATCACCACCACTATACATTGACAGGTAGACAGAGCGAGGACTGTTTATGCCATGAGGATTCTTGATCTGGGTTCCTTGGGTGACTGAAAGGCATCCGCTGAACAAGTGCAGCTGGGCTCTTGTACCTGTGCGCCCCACAAGTGATGCTGAGAACAGGGTGCACACACCACGGACCCTGTCTGTTTGTAGTACTAAAAATCCCTACCCCGGCTCTCCCCCACTAAGAGCCCTTGGGGCTAACCCAGGAGAAATGGTGCCCACCTATCAACTTTTTCCAGAATCTCAGCGATGGTGGTCAGTGGCTTCCGGAGGTAGTGCCTCAGGTTGCGCTGCAGCAGGGGCAGGCAGGTGTTCCACTGTGTGGTACACAGCACATGGATGGCCGTGGGGTCACCCAAACGGATGGCCCGCTGCAGTATGATGTCCAGTCTCTCTATGATGTTCAGCTGGCTCTGTAGGGAGCATGTTGAGTGGCTGGCTGAGGGTTGTGAGACTAGGATGGGAAACTAGTTATGGTCACCATCTGGAAAAGCCAGTGCTGGGGACGGATGGCAATCAGGGTAGATGACAGATTAGGGGATCGGGCATAAGCTATTTCCAGGTCATCAGATCAGGGCCCCGATCCCTCTGAGAATGCCACAGTGATCCTTCCTATTCCATAGTGGGCACTTTACCAGACATTCAGCCAAAGGGCTTAGACATAGCCGCGGCTCATTGTGTTTCTTGGACAAGTAAAGTCAAAGTCCATTTCTTACTGGAGTCTACTCATTCATTCACTGCTGAGAACCACCACCTATGGTTTGTGTATGTGTCCTTTCCAGCAGAAATGCTCCAGGCTAGAATTTCAGAACCCATGGAACACTCTCACCATGCTCTGAGCCTTCCTCAAACTCCACACCTATCCTGTTCTCGACCACATCCCCCATGGCCTCTGGCTTCCTTCCCCGAGGCACCTCACTGTCAAGCTTACAAAGCTGGCCTGACCCCAGAGGTCCTGGGTCCAGGGGAACTCTGACTTGGGCTTAAGGCTTACCTCAACGGCTCCTCGAAGGTACATATTAATTTTACTCTCCAGTCTCAAAGCTTCTAATTCACACTCCAGACCTTCGATTTCTAGCAGCTTGGCAAGATCCTGTGGATGCAGATGGGAGTTTTGAGCACAAAGACATAAATGACAGCAATCATGCACACTCATCAGCTTTAAAGACCCTTAAGATGCCTTGAATTTCCCAGAAGAAACAGAAACCAGAAAATGGACAATCAGAAAACGGTGCAAAGTCACGGGAGGAAAACGTACTGTGTCTCAAAAGACACAAAGGGAGAAAGACTTTCTGAAACCTTTTAGCAGGAGGGGAAATACAAACCTCACTGATTTTAGAGAACCTTGATTTTCCCTTATTTTCTCATTTCTTTCTCTTTTTTAAAAATGCAGACTCTCACATTTTTGCCAAGACTTCTGAGGAACTCTATAGCTCAGGACAGCTTTGGACTCACACCAGTCCTAACTCAGTTTCCTGAGTGTGGGGATTAGAGAAGTAAGCCACCACATCTGACCTACATTTAAAAAAAAAAAAAACTGATCATGTGAATGTATGTGTGTGAGTATGGACATCAGAGGACAACTTGCAAGAATTAGCTCTCTCCTTCTGCAATGTGGATTCTATGGACCAAACTCAGGTCCTCGGATCTGGTGGCATCTCAGCCTCTGGTTTAAATTTTTCTTCCCTTTGTTTTTAATTAAGAATTTCATATATGCACATCACGTGTTTTAATCAAACTCACCTCTACTCACTCCCCTCTAACTCTTCTAACTCCACAGCCTCTATTCCTTCCAATTTCATGTATTGACTTTTTTTTTTTAACTACAGAGTCCACTTATTGCTGTCAGTATGTGCACTGGTATAGAGCCATCTACCAGGGCATGGGTAGCCTCCCAGGGGTGACATCCCTGAAAAAACATGGACCCTCCTTCTTCCAGCAGCCACCAGTTGCCAATAGTTTCTGAACTATGTGTGGGACTTCTGACCTTCTCATGCTGGCTGACATGTGTGGCTTTATCTCATATGGGTCTCATGCATGCTGTCACAGCCACAGTCAGTTCACTTGGGCAACAGTCCAGAAGACACTGTTTCTTTACAGTCACTCATTGTGTCCGGCTCTTACAGTCTTTCCACCTGCACTTCTGCAATTGTCTGAGCTTTGGAAGGTGGGGTGTGATATACATGTCCCACATAGACTGAGCACTCTGCCGTTTCTTATTCTCTGAATGCTGACTAGTTGTGGGACTGCGTTGATCTTCTACTATAAAGAAGCTCTCTCACAAGATTGAGCGATGCACTTATCTATGAGCATGGTAAGTCTTGAGCAGTCCGTCTGTTGCTAAGTCCATTCAGCAGAATAGCAACAGTATGATTCTCCCCTAAAGCCTATAGCCTGCCTAGTCTTGGATTCTTGGCCATGCTAACAGTGCCAGGCATAAATTCTGCTGTGTGGAGTGGCCTTGAAGCTCATGATAAAGTGGGTGGTTTCCCCCTAACATTTGTTGCACTATTGTGCAGTGTGCGTGTCTTGTTCTGCCTGTTGTTACTGTGGTTCACCACTCACAACTGGGTAACACTGGGTGTGTGCTGAGAACCAGCGTTTTGAAAGCTAGACAATAGGGATGAAGCTTCCACATACCAGCTTGATTTCTCCACCTTCTATGACAAAAGCATGTGGTATCTTGAGCAATGCTGTCTTACCATCAAGTTCTGGAGGGCAACCAAGATCAATAGCATTATTCTGTAATGTTGGGGGTGGGATCTGTGAGTCCCTAGCTTAAATTTTTAAATAATAAAACTAGTTTCTGACATCTATGACATTTAGCAACTAGTTTTGGTATGGGGCACCCTGCCCTTGTGGGAGAGTGTGACATAAGCCCTGTCCCTGCCATCAATATGACTATTGTAGGGTTCTTTGAGTGAACCTTGTTCAAGGACCTCATCCAAGTCTTGAAATCCTACAGCCGGAAGTCTGAAGTTTAAAGAGGCAGTTTATGGGGAGCAGCACAAGCCAGAATTTCTGAGCTTTTCAGTGTTACACAGTTACACTGTTCAAGTCTTAATGACAAAGCATTTCAGAGAACACATGATGCCTGTGCCCAAGGTATAGGCCTCTGTAGATGGAGGTGGCTCCTGCATGGATGAAACTTGTCTCTGTGTTTCACTGGCAGTTTTAGTTTATTTAGAGAATAAAGGGCATATAGTCAGCTGCAAATATTTGATGTGTACAATTTGGCAAGCTTTGGCTTATGTCTATTCAAACCCAGGCAAGCCTAACCAACTGAAGACACAACACTGAGCCACCTGTTTCTTGTGCCTATGCCCCTGACCCCTGGCCACCCAAGCATCTCATCTACTTTCCAAACAACATCTTCATTTGCTTAGAATGAGTGAAGGAATCACATGGTGTTCCCTGTTCTTAAGCTTTGTTATACACAATCAGAGCATGGTAAAGTGGGGATGCTTCCCCTACACTCCTGAGCACTCGACTTGAGAATTCAGAGTTTGGTTGTCTGGCTGAAGAGGAAGGGTTGTCTGCAGGTTGTCTGCAGAGAGTTCAGCTGTCTTACTTCTCTGGGTAACCTGCTTTCCCAACATGAATGTTGCCCTTGTGTGAATGTGCTTACCAGTGTTCCGCTAAGGGGTCAGGGTAGCTTTCCTGAATGCCTGTCACTCCTGCTCCTCTGCCCGGTGACCTGTAGCTGCTTTATCCCACTGCATCCCACCACTAGCAGGTTGATGCCCTAGGCTTCTCCTGAGGTCCCTTACAGAGGCCTTGAAGGTTGAAGTGTCTTCTTGTATGTTGTTTAGTGTTTAGGTACTTCTGACTTGAGGACAATGTTGTTGCATCACTGCTGTTTGGGCCACAAGCTTGACTGCATCACTATCTCTCTGCACTACTTCACATGGCAAAAGGCTCACTTATTTCTGGACAGTCACATAGAATTGTGTTTTTGCTTTTTTTTTTTTGGCCAAAGTGCCAGATGTTTGGGCTCAGTGCTTCTTCCTCCTAGGGTGTGTCTCCATAGTGACCCTGAAAGTGGCCTGGCTCTTTGACTCCCAACCATAGGTTCCTGCAGGCCACACAAGGAGCCGCAGGCCTGAAAACTGGCCATCTTCAGCAAAATGGAGACATTTCTTGAGTACCTCTTAGGCACCAGCTTCTGTACTGGGAGGAAGGGGTGTAGGAGGGAGTAAGCCAGATGTGTTCCATTCTCAAGAAGGCTACATCCCAGCAGAGAAGAGGGACAATGGTACATGCTTCTCAGGAAGACCCAGGAGACTTCACTGGCAAAGAATGGCCAGTCTTCCCTGAACTCGTACCAAGGATCATAACAAATGACAGATGTTCTTTGCCAAATTGAAACATCTATTCTCACAGGGAACGAATGGGGTGCTTTTCACAGGAAATAAAAACAGGGCAAACAGAAAACAGGATGTAAAAAGTTGGGCCAGGTGGTGGTGGCGCACACCTTTAAACCCAGCAGATGACAGAGAGCCTTGTGGATGGGCAATAGGAGGAGTAGATGAGAGGCCTGCACTGGGCAATGCTCTTTGGTCTCGTAGAAGTTTCCCTTGCAGGCCTACCTGGCAAGGTGGATCTTTCCCCACACCTCTCCCCTCACCAAGAACAGATGTCATTTTGAGATGTGCCCCATTAGCACTGTTGTCTTAGAGACAAAACCCAGGATTGAGGGAGAGAAGGAAGCTCTTTGTTGGTAAAGAGGGCCAATGCTGGGATTGGGTGCTGGTGTCAAAGACACCTAGAAGAAGAAAATGGACCACAAAAGAGTTTGGTTAAGTGCTGCAAAATAAATCCATCAGATGCTACTTCCACACTCCATGTATCCCCAGCCTCAGCTGCTTCCTCCTCACCCCATTGGCCAGTCCTGTCCAAGTGTCACCTGATGGTTTAGGTCCAGACAGAGTCTTATTTTCATTTAATGCAGTCTTATATTGGCACCCCATATGCGCCCCGTTTCCCCTTTGGCTCTGTGAACTGCTCCTGCTTGTCTGCTGCCCTGTGGATTCATTTAGTTAATAAACTAAAGGCCACATAGGGTCACCCTCATAGGCAACCGGGGCTGTGCAGACAGCAGGTGTTGGGAAGCAGTGGTCAAGACAGAGACCAGGTTCTTCAACACAACCATCGTCGTCTGACCTCATCACTGAATGCAGCCGCTCCATTCTGGAAATGCCTCTTTAAGAGTGCTACCATCCCAAAGCCCACTTCTACGCCTGCCTGTGCTCCTAAACTCCCCCTGGATGACATTATTGTCATAAGCATAAAAAAAATTTAACAGTGACAGTTCTTGACAATCCATGTCACTGAGGAATCCCTAGTTGCTAAAGTATTAGTTTAGGCATAGAACTTCTATTGCAGTCCTTCGTGAAATAAGCAAAAATTAAGTATGATTTAAATGTCCAGGGGTCAGAGGAGCATGGGGTACATCATCACTCCCATGAGTGTTACGCAGCCCTTCCCTGAGCAGTGGTGACAGCACAGGCCAGAGCCAGTGACAAAGGTGAAAGGAAGGACATGGTGCAGACCATCAGACACTGCCAGCACACTCTTGCAGGAGGCACATGTTGAGGACAGAAGGCCTTTCCTACCAACACTTCTTTTTTTGTCAGCCCTGGGGCCAGAGTTTTCTGAGCTACCCCCTGTAGCCACCACCCAGAGCTAACCTTAAGTCACTTACTTTGGTTTCAAGTTTCTTCAGCTCTGAGAGGCAGTCGGAGGCCATTGACTCATTTTTCAAGATCAAAGACAGGCGGCCCAATTCAAAAAGCAGAAGCATTCTGGAAATGGAGGGACAAACAGACCCTGGCTCAGCATGGGGAAGAAATTCACTTGTTTGGCAGTGGCAATGTCGATCCTGCTCCACTGTGACAGTGGTGTAACTGTGGCAGGAGCTAAGAGTGAAGTGAGACAAGCTACAGACCTGACCCTGCCCCCTATGGCCCAGGGCTCTCCACAATGTTGCATTTGTCCCCGCTGGACACACTGTTCCCACCCAGAATTCCAGGCTACTGCCTAGATGCCATGAGGCCACAGCAGCACTGGGCCATCACAAACTCCCTGTACAGTTGCCCTGTGAGACTCTGTCACTGTCCACCTTGTGAACACAATTTAGGAAGGCCATGTCGGGAGAGACACAACACAGGCTCTTCATCCCTGTGACAGGCATATGGGATGTCATCAATACAGTCACCATCACCAATCTGAGTCACAGTGGGTGATGCTTAAATGTGTCTTAAAGTGTAGGGCCTGTGATAGACAAACGACTTTGAAAAAGAACAATAGAGCCTGGCTAGAGCATCCTGACCTCATCCTTGGACCTTCTGCATCTCATCATATTCTGTTCCGCCACTACATCCCTGCTTTCCTCCTACAGGACTCCATAAACATCCCCATCAGTAACCACTAAGTGTCTCCGGATACTGGCAGCCATTCTGGGGGAACAGACACAGTGTCTCCCTGACTTTGTAATCCCTGTCACCTCCAGACAGAGTCTCAGTGACTACATGTGGTGGCACCACCTTCTGTTGCTTTGGTCATGAGCTGTTCCAGGTGGGAGACAGGTTTAGGAAAGAGGGACCAATTTGCTGCCCACCCTTTTCTCCTTGGACTCTGCATATCCAAGGCATGGCCCTAGGACTTCTGCTTCCATGCTTCACCTGAGCTCTGGGCCTGATAGGCAGGTCAAGAAGGGGAACTCAGGGAAGGGTGAATAGCTGGTCCCTGAACCATTTTGGTTTTGAACAAATGTTACATTTTTTTTCTCTAGTCAGATTCCTAGACACAGAAGCCCAAATGAAGATATTGCAGTAGGGACCTTCAGTGTTGGGAAACTCGAAGGCTCCCTGGGTTTTGGGCAAGGGTCCTATATCTATTAAAAGGCAGCTCAGGTTGCTTATGATGTACCCTGGGCAAGCAGGGAGCTCTAAGTTCCCTAGAAGTGGTAGTCCAGTGTTGATTGCACAAAGAGCTGAGAATCTGAAACAGTCCTGGGATCCTTCTAGATACAATGGGTTGTGGGGTCCCTGTGTGCTTCAGCTAGAGGTTCACATGGAAGTGAAGCCTTGGAGCTCTCTGTAGGGAATGTTGACAGAGGAAATACCAGCCAGGAGGCTGGGGCCAGTGAGTTCCTGAGAAGCCACATATCCATTCCCAGGTTCCACTAAGTAGCTGTGTTCACACATGTAAAGGACCAAAGGCAGCATCTGGCCCAGGATTGGTGGGAATAGATGTTAGCTCACATTATTCTTGTGTTTAAGTATAGCATTCTGTATATCAAAACTTAGAAAAGCTTAACTGGCCACCTGGATAACTTGTACTTATAACAAAGCTGAAGGGCTCAGATCTCAATACAGGAAAGTTCTTACAGCCAACTGCACGATGTGTATGTATACTGAATGTTTAAAGCCAGGTAAAAGAAGGAACGTGGACAAAAAAAGAAAACAGTGCTCATATATGTATGAGTAAATGTCTGGCTTTATTGTGGTCAAACAATGGGACTTCTATCTTACAGGCTCAAAGTAGTCACCAAGATATTAGGAAGCAAGCTTCCTGTGAGCCTGCCCTGTGCAGCACCCTACAACCCTATTTCTAGCAATTTACCTCAGTGATCATATTCTCATAAGGGATCTCACCATCATCAAACCCTGATGGAACACCCTGACATGGACAGGATGGCTGGAGTCTGACGTCGGGTAAAGTAACTTGGAGAATCTGATGACAGATGTGAGCATATATATGAGCACTCAGTCCTCTGAGAGCTGTTATTAACCTGATACAAGGGTCTGGGGGCTGGTGTGGGGAGCACACCTCTGGCTCTCACTTAGGCTTTAGGGTCCTTGGGACTCCAAATGTGATCCTTTCCATGCTCCTCCCGCTGAGGAGAATGTGTCATGCACTATACAGCCACTGTGTGCCAACAGAGTCTACCCAAGGCCTGAACCACACATCACCTATCTATTGACAGCTGGCGCATTCCCTGGCTGTTCTGATAAGGCAGGCCATCCCCACGGGAGACATGCTATGGGCCATAAGGAACTAATTGGGCCAGCAGCCATATGAGCAGGTTCTTTCCCAGCTCGGCTGCCAGAAAAGCCTGAGGGAGGCAGCTAACATCTTGTTGGCAAATCAACGAGAGTCCTGCCCATAGACACAACCAGATAGATACAAACGTGCCCTGTTCTAAGCCTCAGCTCATGGTCATTTGTCATACAGCCACAGACAACTGACACATGCTCTGGGTCAGTTTTCTGGGATCCTACAAGCAAAGCCCCACAGACCAAGTATCATAAAATGGCAGGCACGATTGTTTCAGTTGTCAGGCCAGATCTCAAATCAAGGCAGTTCCCCCAAGCTACATTCCATTTGAAGACTCAGTAGAGGATCCCTGCTTGCCTCTCCAGGTTGTGGCCAGTAATTGTTGGTACTTCTGTTCCCATGTGAGTCTCTGTGCCTTAGTCTCCCTTTTCTTAAAAGGACACCTGTCCTGGGAGTTAGATAGAGTCCACCTTTATTGGGAATGACACATCTGAACTTACAGCTACTAAGGCCTGCTTCCACAGCACTGTGCAATCTGATGCAGACACCACTCCCATCAATGGCGCATCCTCTTGTATATAAAACTCTACACACTTCAGCCCAAGTCAGTGGCCAAATGATCCTAGAGGCCAGCCGGTGCTCTGCCTCTGGTAACACTGGCTATCATATGGAGAGGCCCTGTGGCTAAAACAGTTATCACAGTCAAGGAGTCAACAGGTTTCTTACATTAAAAGTGAACAGAAGTTAGTGAGAAAAATCATTTAATTCAGAAGATAAACCCTCAGAGGAGGTGGTTTGAAAGCCCCAAACATAGGTGAACGATGAACCCCAATGGTGATCAGAGACTTGGAAAGCAAAAGACACCACATGGGGTAATTACGATCTCATCATTTCAAATAAATGCAGTGATCACAGGGTGTGATGAACAGCCACTGAGGAGAGAATCAAGCCCCTGCCGCCTCTGTGAGAGAACATTCCAGATTCCCACCTCAGCATCTGCACCACCCACTCTTCATTCAGGAGCCAGCTGAGAACTCCTCCCAACTCCACCAGTATGCAGAAATGCCAGAAACCTCAGAACTAAGATGAGCTCCTGGAAAGGACTCAGGTCAGTGCAGTCTTCTGTGTAGCTACCAAGAAGTTTATGAGGCACCATGGCGAATTGAAAAGGATCATGCTTAGAAGTTAAATTTGATTTCCCATGGTAGGATATGAAGGGTCACACCCCAAGTACAGTACACAGACAGGATAAACGTCAGGACAATATTGCCAGGGAGGCAGCACCAAATCCTCCTTTTGGTGTGGGGCTGGTACTTGCGTGGTTCTAGGTGCTTGTTTCTGTGTATCTTTTCACATTTTCTGGTTCTTTCTGAATAGTATGTGGTGGCCATGTAGGTGTCTGTGTGTGTGTGCAGACACAGGGAAGCTTACACTTACTTTTCTTCTTTGACAGAAGGGAAGCGTTGGTGATTAAAATGACTTAAATGTTTAAAGGCATTCATCAGAATTTGGTCGATGTCTTCTGGCAAATCATTTTTATCCAATTTCCTATAATTGAATTAAACACTATGTTGTCAAATCATCCTGTCATATTTATTAAAAAAAATTATCCTCAAGGAAACTCTTAAATCAATGAGTCCATGCTTCTTACAGAATGGAAGTCTCAAAACATCCCTTCTCTCTTTGTGCCAGATTTCCCAGGCAAATTTTCATGCCTCCTTATCTTTCTCCTTGAAGGCAATATTCCTTTTCATATATCACTGCAGGGAAACTCCAGAAAAGTGTGCAACAGCATGTCTGCAGAGCCAACACTGTACCTAGGAGCCCTTGCTCTGTGACACTTTGGCCCTTAGAAGACTCTCTGTATCTCTGCATTATTTCCAGGGGGTCAAAACCACCATGAAATAAGAAATCTCCTCAGCTTCAAATATGCTCTTGTCTCCACACGCACCTCAGGACTGAACATATTGCAGTTTCTTACTCTCCTCAGGACCAAGCATCCTGTAATCTCTTCACTCTCCTCAGGACCAATCATACTGTAATCTCACTCTCCTCACTCAAACACACTATGGTCTCCTTGTGGTCTACCTCATCTGGCAGGACTTGTGAGAAAAATCTGATTCAGTTGGGGACTTTTTTCACTTTCGGGGACTCTGATTACTCTGTTGGTGGCTTCACTACCCCCTTGTTTCTCAGTAGTAGGTGTGGTAAATGGGGTTACTTTAGATCCTCCCCACAAAACCCTAGTACCATCTCCTCTAGGGTAGCTCCTATAGCCAGCCCTAGGCCCTAAAACTAAAGGAGGGGACAATGTCCTGATCCCAGCCTGAGCTCAACTTTCCCAAACCACTTACGCTTTTAGCGAATTGATGCTGTAAGTGATGGAGAGACTGGCAGAATGCTTCTTCTCTTCCTTTAACTGATTATCATCCATCAGCTCATGACGAACCTGTCCAGGAATGTGACTGAATGTTACTTTGCATTCAAATAAGGAATTTGAGATTCATTCAGATTTTGTGTCTAGACATTATTTTATTCCCCCTATAAAATTAATATTTGTAATGAAGACAAATTCTCACTAAGTTCTATATATATTTATATATAATTTATGCTGATTCTTATACATCAAAATTAACAGATTGTAGACACATTGGGGGCATGGCACTATAGTAATTACTTATATTTCACAAGTTTTCTGTTAATCTTTAAAAAAATTGAAGCTGTTACAAAAGAAATATTTAAATAGTAATGAAAGGACTTCATATAGGAAGAACTGCCTGTTCTTTTGATTGTATTTTTCTTGTTTTGTTCACGTATGTATATGTTTTTATATTCTTCAATAAATGGGATTATTGTAGTTTTGTGTGTAGTCTCTGAACAATGACTTTTTAAGAATGCCACTTCTTGCCTTTCCTTTTAAAGTGTCCACTTACCATGACTGAGAATATATTCCGATACTTGTGGGGCACATGGGCTTTGATGAAGGGTGCAGCTGTCAAGCAGAATTTGGCAGCCTCCTCCTGTCTTCCGGCTTGCAGGTAGCATTCAAGAAGTTCCCTGTATAATAGAAAACAGCAGGCATTAGCCTTCTTAGCTGTCTCCTGTGGCAAATTTCTAAGAGCCAGGTTCTCGGGCTTTTGCAAACTCTGTGTTTCACAAACTTTCGCAAGTTTTCCAGTGAAGCACCTTAGCCTTCTTAGCTGTCTCCTGTGGCAAATTTCTAAGAGCCAGGTTCTCAGGCTTTTGCAAACTCTGCGTTTCACAAACTTTCGCAAGTTTTCCAGTGAAGCACTTGACACTCACCAGGATCCATGGCAAGGCCAGCCGGAATGGAAGAAACTACTGCAGACAGCACAGGAACTATGCACAGTTTAATTACTAAGAACATTTCCAGACAACACTTTGAAGGAAGATCTCATTTGCATTAACTTTCTCTTAGAGGTTCCCCAAATGGTCACATGAAGGTACCCCAAGCCTGCAGACTGTGGTCTAGACTTGAGCTAACATCTTTGGTGCTGGGATCTGCATTGTCAAAAAGCCACCTGGTCCCTAGCTTGTAGCAAGATCCCGACAAAACCTGTGGAAGGTCCCTTCTTGGGCTAGCCGCCAGCACTGTGATCAGGTGTTTGCTAATAGCCTGTGGCTTCAGAGCAGCAACCCCAGAGATCCCACGCACAGCCCCTGGGAACCCAGATGTAATGCTCATATTGGCACAGATATTTGCCAAAGTGCCTAACAACATGAAAGCCAAAATGACAGCAGCAACAACAAAACCCCACTGCACTGTTTTAAAGGCATGGGCCAGGACTAGTGACACAGTTCTTTTGCTTTGAACCCTGATGTATCTCCAAGACCTGTTGCAATATCCATAGATTTCTAGAAAAGTCAGGAACCCAGCCCTTCCCTAGGAAGAGAAAGAGAGGTACATATGCCCTGGGTCATAATAAGTTTAGGACTCGCCCAGGGCTGTTCACGTTGAGGTCTACTGTCCCCACTCACATCATCAGCTCTGCCTGCCACTCCTTGTCCTCTTCTGTCTGGTTTAACACGGTGATGATTTGAGAGAGGCTGGGGATCACATACTGATGGTATCCAGGCTTGAGTAATGGCCGCACCATGTGCCAGTAGAGAACAGAAGCATTGAACACCAAGAAGTAATACCTAGGCAGGGAGTGGAAGTCAGAATGCTAGAGGCACAGGGCTGGACCTAATTCCTGGACCCATTCAGGAGGGAAGCAGAAGTGTGACCCATCACCATCAGGTACAGGCACCTCATTTGAGGTTATTTCTCTGCAATCTGCATCAGCACCAGGATGCAGAGCTACCCCCTGACAGCCCTCTTCCACATGAACAGTGGCTGTCTCACAATGGTGATGGCACGGTACCTGTCTGGACTAGGTTCCTTTCATGAAAATACAGTCATAGGCAAGGAAGGAAAGGATATGGAAAGCTTCCTGGAGGAGTGGCATCCTGCTGTGACCAGGAAGAAGTCCAAGAATCACCTAGGGGCCGAGTGGACATAAGATGGCCAGACAGAGTGTATTGAAGGTGGACGTGAGGGACTGACAACAAACTCCATGTCTGAGCATAAACCCTTGAGGAGTACTGAAGGTGTGTGAAGAGGCACTTCCCAGGCATCTCCCTCTGAGTGGCAGGGCATCATCTGCGGGGTTGACACAGAGGAGCTTCAAGGCTTACTTACTGTAGAGCCACTGTCAGGAGTGGGCAGCCCTGCCATTCTATCACTGACTGGCCATCAGATAGGCATTGCTGCTCATTACCCAGCAAGGAGGAAGGGAAACCAAGTGGCCAGCAACCAAAGCAGTGAGTCCCAGTCACCCCTTGGCCCATCTATAGTTGTCTCCAAGACCCTTTTAGTGGAGCATGGCCAGGAACTAAAGGCTGTCTTTGGAAACATTCATTCCGATAAGATCTCTGGTGCAGTGTCAGCTCCTGGCCCCTGCGGGGAAGATGTACAGGGCTGAACCCTGTCCCCTTGTTCCTATGCAGTGTGTGATCTGAGAAGGCCTTCAACAGATGAGCAGTGGGCACAGGCGGAATGAATGAAAGCTTCTTTTAATGTTGGGTCCCACTGCATGTGTGCCAATGTCAGTGTAGACCAACTTAACTTTTCAATAATTGAATTTGGGTTTGGGTGGAGGAAAGACAAGTACCAAATAGAAAGCTGTGCTAGAGTTTCGCAGAGCCAGAAACAAGTACAGGGGACAGGAAGAGGTGCAGAGACAGAGGATCACAGTCTAACAGAGGAACCCCAGGGTGTACCATTCTCCCTTCAGAGAGACTGGCCTCCAAAATCCAGGAACAATGGGGGTCTGGGGGACAGGTTGGGAAGGAGGCCATAGAGAAAACCCTTTGACAGCCAGTGACATCAACAAGTCCTGAGCACAGCAAAGCATGCCACTTCTGGGAAGCCAAGCCTGTGTCATAACTCCACTAAACACAAAACAAAAAGGAGAGGGATGGATGATAGTACAAATATATAGCATCACTTGGTACTTTGGGGCACCAAACTCTTATGTAATCAAGTGGAAGCAGGCAGTTCAGCATGCCTACCTCGGTTCTCCTTTTGCGAAGTTTACGGCCTTCATGTACTGAGTCACACAGTTTTCAAATTCCTCCTAAAACAGCACAACGAATACAAAGGTAAGCCACTTTTGCCACACAAGCACCCAGCATCGTGCATCTCCATTTCTGTCACCAAATGCAAACTGTTTGGCACCCCAACTTATGCACAGTTGGGGTACTGTGGAAGACTCTTCAGAAACCACAACTGGCTGCGTCCATGGGTGTCAGACTCTCCCAGCTCCCCCTCTGCCCAGCTCAGGGAGGGCTGTGGTAGAGAGATGACAGAAAGGCCATAGCACTGTTGCACAGAGGCTGAAGGTGAGACGGACTCACACCAGGCACTGGCAAGTGCTGAGTGGAGAGAGACGCACAAAAAGGAACGCTAAATGTTCTGCACCACTGTGGAGCAGAGTCTGGTTCCTCAACTCCATCTTACTTAAAAGCCACCCTTTTTTTAAAAAAAAATTTATGTGCATTGGTGTTTTGCCTGCATGTATGCCCATATGAGGATGTTGGGTATACTGGAACCAGAGTTACAGACAGCTGTGAGCTGCCATGTGGTTGCTGGGAATTGAACCTGGGTACTCTGGAAGAGCAGTCAGTGCTCTTAACTGCTGAGCCTCTCTCCAGCCCAAAAGCTACTCTTAAGACCTGCCTTGCTGCCATCCCTGGGGGTGGGGTGAAACAGGAAGGGGGCTGTTCTCACCAGGTTTTCCTCTGACTGTGGGCCACAAAGCTGAGCCCTGCACAGGTGCGCTCGACCCAGAAACTGAGTGACTGGCGCCTTCACTTTGAAGTACATCTGGATGCAGTCCTCACTCATCTCGGACTCCCCCATCTGTAGGACATTGAAGCCAGGAAAAATTGGGAATATGCCCAGAATGAACGGGCTTTGGATCACTGTGAGACTAGCTTGGTCATTCCTCTCTCCACAACACTCATCAGTGTCCCACCCACCCTTCTCTATGCCATTTACACCCAAAAAATGGGGGTGGGGGGCAGGTTCATTGTGTTCCAGTGCCAGCCAGGCCCAGGGCTCCACCTTGAGTGCCTGCTCTGCACACACCACGAAGAGGTCCGGGCTGAAGCTCTCTGAGGGGTCGAACTCCGACTTTCCCAGGTTTGCTGACTTGATCAGCTCATAAGCTCGTCGCAGGGCAGCTGCATCTATCAGGCAGAGAGGGGATCAGCAGAGGGGCCCCGCATGGGTGTGTCAGAGAGACACAGTCCCAGGGGGAGCCTTCCTCTGGCACAGAAACACGGGTCCGACTTCCTGGCCAGGCTGCCCACAGCCCTCCCAACTCAACAATCAGGCCAGGCTCAATAACTGTAACTACCTCATCACAGGAGGCCTTCTGTGCTATTCTACTGGGGTCAAAGGGTTCCCATCAGCAGAGCTAGGATGAGACCCACCTTCTTGGTTCTGGGCACGGGTCAGCTCCTGCGTGATGACCAGGTCCATGGCGCCTAAGGCCTACAGCCAGACAGCTGCTTCGCTGCTTCGCTGCTGTACCCGTTGCGGTTGCCTAGAGACGGACCCAGACTGAGGACGCTGGAGCTCGGGGCGGGACTATACTTGGGGGTACTTGAGGCCAGGAGTAGGGAGAGGGAAGGAGGCAAGAAGGGGGCGGGGCGGGACTGGAGGACACTGACTGAGGCCAGGTCAAGAACTCTTGAATGTTGAATTGGTACCAACGCCTTGCTTTCTTCAGTTTCCTCGCCAGGCTGCGCTCACCTCCCATCCCTCCACCCATTCTTCAGTGTCCCGCTTTGCTGCGTCAGGAAAAAATGAGCGCTCCACAAAGCTTTCCTGCTCTGGGCGAGCACGGGTTGGACGCATGTCCGCAAAAATCAACAGAGGATTTCTGCAGGAACAGGAAGGAGGGCTGCTGGTTACCGGCGCACAGGGAAGCCACTAGCCTGGGAAAGAGTTCCCCCTTTCTATCCTCAGGTGCCACCTGTGTCGGGTCTACATGTGACATCGATCTAAGCCTTTAGGAATCTGAGAAGTGAAGACTGGGCAGATCTGCCTCAAGCTGCGGTCTGGGCAAAAGCTCGAATTGCAAGGAATTAGAGAGGCCGTGGGGTCAGGGAGGGTGGGAGGACGCCTCCTAGGTTCTAGGGCCTTTGGGCAAGGACGACTGTCGGAGAGAACTTCCAAACAGACACAGTAGTCTTGGAGGTTCTAGCTGGGACCGAGCTGAGGGCTGCAGATGGGGCTGAGCTTCAGCGGTTGAGAAGCAATAGTGGGTGGGCGGCGATGGAGACCCCCGGAGCATCAGGTGAGCAGGCCCATAGATAAAGACAAAGCTGGCTCTAGAAGTCCAAATGAGCACTTAGCACGGAGTGCAGTCCAGAAGGACAAACGCATCCAAGAACTGGGAAGAAGCAACAGTCCCTAAGGCCACGCCTCCAGTGACCTACTTCCCCTAGCCAAGCGCCACCTCTCAAAATAGCGCCACCTTCTGGGGCTATGAGTCAGCACATGAGCCCGTGAGACCTTAACAGGCACAAACAGAAAAATCACGAAAGGAGAAACAGACAAATTAATACTCAAAAGTAAAGCCTTCTTATCATTGAAAGACTGCTAGGAAAATGAAAAAGTAGAGTACAAGACCAAGAGTTCAACAGATAACTCATAGACAAGTTTAAAAGAAGCTAAAGACTTGGATAGACACGTGACAATGTGAGGTCCGTGACTATTCAGCGAGCTGACGTGGTCACTAATCAAAAAAGACACCAAGAGATGCCTCCCACATTCAAATCCATCACTACAGCTAAAATCAAAAAGCCTGATGAGGACAAACAGCTGCATTTGCCACACAGCTGATGGCAACATAAAATGACAATCGCTGGAAAACCGTTAGCTCCAAGTAAACTGAGGCATAATACTTGCCTCATGACCCAGAAATTCTCCTCATAGGTAATTGTCCCGAGGGATGGATGCATATACCATTTGAAGTCCTGTAGAGTGTTTTATTCTCCTTTATTCATGATAGCCCGATGGTAGAAATGACCCAGATAGACAACAAAAATCAGTTACACAATGGGCTGTTGCTCAGGAATAAAAGAAACAGAGGAGGAGTTGATCTGAGGGAGAAGGGTGATGGAGGGAGGGACTTGGAGCAGTGGAGGGAGGGGAATCTGCAGTAGGGATGTAATGTATGAGAGAAGAAAAAAAGTTTGTTGAG